GCCAAAGGGGCTAGGAGGGAAGAAGGGCCCGGGGCTGCAAAGTTTGCCCCCAAGAACGAAATGGAGCTCTGCTCCCCTCCTAGGGGCCAGGAGTGGTCCAGGCCAAGGCCGGGTGATGAGACTAAGGACAGATGAGGAGGAAGGGGCGCGGGGAGTGAGTGGTACCACTCTTTCGGGCCAGGATGATGGAGCCTGAGAGTGGCCCTAGGGAGCCAGTAAGGTTACCAGGGCTGGGGCAGAGACCACGCTGGCGGCGAGGTGGGGGTGGGGGTGGGGGTTGGTGGCAGGGCGGGGTGGCAGCTGGGAAGGGGTAGAACCAATTCCCCCACCGCTTCTGACTTGGATGGGAGGTGTCAGGACAGCTCCAGCTTGAAGAGGAGCGACCTCCTGCCTCCTTCTCTTAGCAGTGGACTCGGGAACTCGGTTTGGATCCCCCAAGCCCCCGACCTTGGGCAGGAGCTAAGGCCTCGCTGGGAGATAGCTGGGGGTCAAATGCTTTCTAGTTGACTGCTAGACTGCTCTCTAGCTTTCTTGCTAGTTCAGTTTCCTTGTGGTGGGGGTCTAGCCCCTGACGCTGCAGACACCCCTTGGCATCCTCTCTCTTCCCAAAGCTCCATTTCTCTCCACCGCTGTCCCCTCTTTCTGTCTGTCGGTTTCAGTCTTCATCATTCTTTCCCCCCACTACTCCATTGGGTCCCCGTGTTCTCCCTCTCTCTTAATCTCGGTCTCTACTTCATTTGCAGTTACCAGTCGCACCTCCCTCTTTGCCCGCACCCAGCGCCCCCCTGCTCCCCCCCAGTGGTATTAAGTGTCCTTAATGGACACGTTAATTAAACTGTAATTAATCATACTGTCCAGCTCAAGTTTGAACAATTACCCTAATCAAACAGAAGTTAATAATGGCAGGGATGGCCCGGGGCGCGGCGGGTGACCCGGGCAGGGGGCGCAGCGGCCACTGCAGCTACTGACGTTGGCAGCAGCGGAGAGCGCAGCCCGTCCTTGGAATCCGGGCGGCGCTATAAATCTTCGGCGGCCAGCGGCGCTGGGTCGCCCTCGCCCCCGCCCCCTCGTTTTCCCTCTTGCTCAGGGTTACAGGCCCTCTCCCCTCCTGCATTCCAGTTCTTCTGGGGTTCGTCTCCTCTTCTCCTCCACTTTTCCCCTCTCGCTTTTCTCTTTTCCTCTTGCTCTCAGGGACCCTGGGAAAGCCTCTAAGGATGCGAGCGGATCACCCGGGCCAAGCCCTCGGAGAGAGGGGTGGACAGGACAGGCCCGAGGAGTCGTTTGCTACCTCCTTCTCCCCTTGGTTAACGGATTTCTGAGGCCTCGAAAACTACCCCCAAGTTTGAGGGCTCTGTCTCTTCTGCGGAGACTCTTCTAGAGTGGGTTTTTGCTTTCAGCTCCCTCGGTTCCCGTCTTTCTCTCTATCGGGTCTTCCTGCCTATCTCTCTTCTCCCAGAGCCGGCTCGGGTCTTCTCTCTCCCTGCCTCTGGCCCCTCGGTCTTCTCCAGGCTCTAACTCTGTCCCGCTCTAACTCTGCCGTTCTCTCTCCCCCGCCACCTTTCCTCTGAGAGAAACAAGAACCTATTTTCCCTCCCAGTCCGAGAGCCGCCCCCAGCCTCCACCTGCTCATCCCCAGCTCCCTCTGCCGGCCTCCCCCACCCCATAATTACAATCCCGTTCGGTAATTATTCTTAGCCTCCTAATGATTTTTTAAAAGGCATCTCAGAATTCGGTGTGGTGGTTGACAACGATCCCGGAGCCAGGACGCCCCCCGGGGTGGTGGGGAGTGGGAGTAGAAAGAGGTTGGGAAGGGTTCTGTGAGCAGGGCCTGTCTGTCCTGCTTCTATTTTACTATGAAGGCCAACAACGCCTCTGGGGTCGGCCTCTAGGGCGATCCCAGCAGTTTGGCTGCGGGGCCCCGGCGACTTCTCGAACAAAGTTCCCTTTCCTGGTTACTGCACCAGGGGCGTGCTGGGTCCCCCTGAGTCTCCGTTCAGCACCAAGCTGTGGACAGCTCCCTGAGCCTGCCTGCGGCTTCGCGGACCCACCCAACTCTCCGACCCGGGTCTGAGATGGCTAAGGAGTGAAGGCGCATGGAGAGAGGCGGGGGAGGGGGGTGGGGAGTGGGGGTGGGCCAGAGAGCGGATCTTGGGGGTCGGGCCAGGGCTCTGTTCTGGCCCAGCAACTAGTTGGTTAATATCAGCGCGAATGTCGTTTTACAGTTTGCAGAGACGGTTCTCACAATGGCCCTGGCAATAAGTAGGGATCATTTATTCCCATTTTACAGACAGGAAATAGAAGGTAGTGGAAGCCAACTCAGGTTCCTTGGTCAATAAAGGACGCAGGCTGGTCTCCCAGACACCAAATATTGTGCCTTGCACGCTATCCGGAGGGCCTCGCTTAGTGAAGGAAGAAGGATAAGGAGAAGCTTTTATTACCGCCTTCACAACACTCTGTGCGAAAGAAACAGGCCTAGCGAAGCCAGGTCACTTGCTCTGATTCAGGCAGCCAGTGCAGGGCAGCGCTGGGAATTGAACTCAGGCTCAGACGCGGCAGGGTGGGACCCTTCTTCCTCAGAGGGGACTTTGAGTCCTGCTGCTCTGTCCAGCGCCTGGGGAGCCCGTGGAAGTCGGTACCCTTAGGCTTTTTGACCCCCGTTAGCGCGGTTTCTCTTTTATCCACTGCTGGTGGCACTAAGGTCGGAGGGCTGTATTCCGGATTAGGTGCTCCCCCCACTCCAGCGGGGTCTGCGGTGCCTCCGTGTATCCAGCGCCGCGTCCACACTGCCCCGAGTACCGCCGCCCATTCTGGCTCTGGCTTGGGCTGGGGCTGGGCGGCCGCGCCTCCTCCGCAAGCAGATATCTTTTACCAGTTGAATTAACGGCAGTTTTCGTCAGTTAATTAGGTTTAATTTACATAATTAGTACAGTATAAAGAGGATTGGGGATAATCATGGGGTACGTAGCACTTACTGTGTAAACACGTATTCTGAATTAAAAATCAGATGTAATTAAGGCGCGCAGGCCCTGTTTAGGCAGGGTTTTAATTGTAATGAATTTCTAATTAACACTCAATGATTGCCAAATGCAAAGGGCTGTAAAATTTTCTTGTAGTTTTGCTAATTTATTGTTTACTTAATATCTGGATATTAATCCAAAGGCCAGATAGATCCGAGGCCCGCGCGGTGGCTGGGCCCAGCAAAGCAAAGGCGGCTGGGCGGGGCCTTCTGGGCCGCCCTGAGTAGAGAGGTGAGCCCGCCACCAAGGGCTCAGAGCTCCTGGCCCACCTCACATCCAGTGCCAAGAGGCAGACAAAGGCCCGGAGAGGCCGGAGAGACTCGCCGGAGACCGTGCACTCCAGTTTCCTGCAGCCCAGATGCGCTCTTTGGGATCGGAGGTCAAGCCCGTGCTCCTCCCAGCGGAGGACTCCCGGTTCCTGGGGACATCAAAAGGAGCAAGAGGAGTCTCGGCCCTGATCCAGTTCTTCCTTCTACTGACCACCTAAGTGACCATAAACCTTGACTTGGCCTCAATATCTACATCTGTGGGATGGACACACTGACTGGCACTTTGTGGTTTGAAGTACTGACCTACCCCAAGGCCTAGGAGCACTGTGGATGAACATCTTTCTTCTGGGACGCTAAGAGGTGGGGCCTGAGGGGCCCTGGTTGAGTGTAGGTCTCTTAAGTTTGGGGGAAGGGGCAGAGTCAGGAGGCCTTGGGAGTGGTTTGAAGGTCGTGGGAATTGGCTCTGCCTATCCCAGGGCTCTCTCTGCACTTGGATCTGCAAGTTAGACTGGAAGAGACTGAGGAGGGAACCCAGGACCACATTTCTTGGCTCCAACCAGACATAGAAGCCCCTAAGGCCTGAGCAGAGGTATTCGGGTAAGAGAGTGGGCAAGTAGTTCAGCTGGACCCAGGACTCCTCCTCCCAGATCTCTAATTTGGGTCCTTGCCCTATGCCAGATCCACACAAGCCACTCTCCCACCCAAAGGCTCCCTTTCTGTTGGGCCCCAGCTTAGCCACAGTCTCTTTCCAAGGTCCTCAGCACAGAGGAGACTTTGTGGGCACCCTGAAATTTCCAACCAACTCAAGGAAACACATCAAGAAGATTCAATGCCACCTAGAAGCTTCTGCCCCACAGAGTAGACGGCCTTGACTTCTCTTTCCAGTGCCTGCCTTTCAGAAGCCTCAGAGGCCACTCCTGGACACTACACAGGGCCTCCTCTGGGTCTGCCTATTGGCCTGGGCCCCCCATCTCTCTCTGTCTCATGCTGTTTTATTTTCATTATTGGATTGTTCACTGCTTAATGTTTTCTGATTAGTTATTTGTTTGGGAGTGTTTTCTGTCTCTCTCACTGGGATGTTTTGTTTGCCGTTGTATTCCCAGGGCCCAGAACAGGGCCTAGCACACAGTAAGTGCTCAACATGTTTGTTGAATGAATGAGTGAACAAGCATTTAAGTGTAAGGGCTTCAGCCCAGGTCCCAGCTGACTTGCTGGCCATAGTTGTCTTGATATCTAGTGTTCAATCTCGTTCTTCAAGAGTAGAAGGTTCTGTGCTCCTCAGTGATGTCTAGGAGGTCTTGGGATTCCTATCTTCCACACAGATTCAGACAAGGCTACTCAGGCAGAGGACCAAAGGCTTATTCTCTTAGGAGGTGGGGAGTGAGCTTCAGCCCAGGTCCCAGTTGACTTGCTGGCCATAGTTGTCTTGATATCTAGTGTTCAATCTCGTTCTTCAAGAGTAGAAGGTTCTGTGCTCCTCAGTGATGTCTAGGAGGTCTTGGGATTCCTATCTTCCACACAGATTCAGACAAGGCTACTCAGGCAGAGGACCAAAGGCTTATTCTCTTAGGAGGTGGGGATAGGCCCTGGCAGGCTTGCTGAGGTCTCCCTGGTTGCAAGGGCTTCCTTCACAGGGCCTTCTCCACTCATGGAGAAGGGGAGGGCTGGAAAGAGAACCCACTCTGGAGCCAGCAAGACCTGGGTTAAAATTCCAGTTCAGCTCCGTTTGAGTTTGTAAACCTGCATCTGTAAAGTAGTCATATGGGTCTTACCAGGATGTCATAATGATTAAAAAAGACGCTAGGTGTACGGCACATAGCCAGGTCTGGGACTAGAGTGAGGTGCCTAGGGTGCAAAATTTAAGGAAGTTTTCACTCTCAGGGTCTTGAAAAATTTCCCCCTAGTCACAGCCTTGCATGAAGCAGATGGCACGAAGTAGATGCTCAGCATGCGTGAGGTCCCCCTTCCTTGCCAGCCTCAGATCGCTTCTGCACAGCTGCCTGAACATTGGTGGAGTCCAGTCTGCTTGCTGAGAAAGGCTGAGCTTTATTGGGATATAATTCACATACCACATAATTCATCTATTTAAAGTGTACATTCAATGGTTTTTCAAATATTCAAAGAGGTGTGCAACCATCATCACATCACTTTCAGAACATTTTCATTGCCCCAAAGAGAAACTCCACACGCATTAGCTGTCACCACCATCTCCTCACCTTCCCCAGCGCTAAGCAACCACTGCTTTCTGCCTCTATAGATTTGCCTATTTTGGACATTTCATATAAATGAAATCATAAAATATGTGGTCTTTTGTGACTGGCTTCTTTCATTCAGCATGTTTTTGAGGTTCATCTATGTTGTAGCCTATATTAGTGCTTCATTCCTTTTTTATTGCCACATAATATTCCATTGCATGGATATCCTACATTTTGTTTATCTGTTCATCCATTGATGCGTATTTGGGTTGTTTTTACTTTTTGGCTATTATGCTGCTATGAACATTTATGTATAAGTTTTTGTGTGGTTGTATGTTTTAAATTCTCTTGGGTATACATCTAGGTATAGAATTGCTGGGTCATATGCTGATTCTATGTTTATGCTTTTAAGGAACTATCAGACTGTTTTTACAAAGCACTGCACCATTTTATGTTTTTGCCAGCAATGTACGAGAGTTCCAATTTCTCCACATCCTCGACAACACTTGTTATTATCTGTCTTTTAGATTATAGCCATCGTAGCAGGTGTGAAATAGTATCTCGTTGTGGTTTTGTCTTGCATTCTCTGATGACTGATTATTTTGAGCATATTTTCATCTGCTTATTAACCACTCGTACATCTTCTTTGGAGAAATGTTTTTTTGGAAACTTTGCCCACTTCTTCAATTGGATTATTTGTAGTGTTATTATTGAGTTGAAAGAGTTCTTTACATATTCTAGATAAAAGTTCCTTATCAGATATAGGTTTTGCAAATACATTCTGTTCTGTGAGTGGTATTTTTATTTTCTTAATAATGTCCTTTGAAGCACAAAAGTTTTTAATTTTGATGACATCCAATTTATCTATTTTTTGCTGCTTGTGCTTTTGGTGTCATATCGGAGAAGGTTTTGCTGACCTCGACGCTGTAAGATTTACTCCTATATTTTTTCTAAGAGTTTTATCATTTTAGCTCTTACTTTTAGGTCTGTGATCCATTTTGAGTTATTTTTGTGTATGATGTGAGATAAAGATTCAAATTCACTCTTTTGTACATGGATATCTAGTTGTCTCAGCACCATTTGTTGAAAAGATTACTCTCCCCATTAAATTGTCTGGCACCTCACTGTCTTTTCTGGTCTGGAGAAATGACTATCCTCTTTTCCCCAGGAGAGATGGGGGTCTCCCTAGAGTAGGGGCACATCTAGCCTCTCCTTCTGCAGATGCAAATGGAAGTTTTCTGTAAGCGCTCAGGAATCTGGAACCAGTCATTCTCTGGCAAATATCATTGAGGCTTTGCCCCTTTCATGCTCTCTCAGTGAAAATTCACTTCTCTCTTCTTCCTTCCCAAGTACGTGGCATGTGCCTCTATTACTATACTAGCCTGGGATGGAGTAACTATGGGATGTTCTGTCTTTCTTACTGGAGTGAGAGTCCTAAGAGAACATGGCCTGCATCTTACATGGAGACAGCTGTTGCTAAGGGAACCTTCACTTCAGATAGGTCTGGGTTTGAATCTTAGGGCTACTATTTCCTAGCTGTGTGGCTTTGGGTGAATCACTTCACCTCTCTGGACCTCAGCTTCCTTGACCATGAAATGGGCATGCTGGCGTCATAGGACTGTTGGGAGAACTAAAATAAGAGATGCCAAGGGCCCAGCACAGTGCCTGGCACGTAATGGGGGCTCAAGTTTCCTTAGCCGGTATCAATGGAAATAGGAAAGCAACTCTCCTCCCAATAGCACTGCTGCCACCCCCAGCCCTAATTCTGTCCCTCTCTATCCTTTTACTCTGTTTTATTTATTTTTCACAGCAATTGTCCCCATCAGAAATTACAGTATTCTTTCTTGTCTGTCTCTCCTGCTGGAATGTCCGCTCCAGAGCATGGGGACTAGCTTGCCTCAATTGCCACCGTGTTCCCAGCTCCCAACACATAGGAGGAGCTGAGGAAATATTTGATGAATAAATAGTGTCTCCAGTGCCTTTGCTGGGCACTGATGAGGATCTGGAGAGGCTCTGGAAGCATCCCCAGCCCCAGCTGGTATCCAGGGCTGGTGAGGCCCTGTAAGGGCCCAGCCTCCAGGGTTCAAGGAGGCTGAGCTCTGGGGAGAGAGTGGGGAGAGGAGAGAAGCTAGAAGCCAGAGGGAGCCTGACTTTTGAAGAATAGGAATTGGTGGTGCTGGGTGCATGGTGCTGGGAGAGAGCGTGTGTGGGTGTGCAGGCTGGTGAGTACAGAGGGCACCTGAGGATGGGGGTCTGGTACATGGGCTTTATAAACTGTAAAGGGATGGACACATGGAAGTGTTTGTTCCAAAGGCATTTGAGTGGCCTGGGCTGGGAAGTGAAGAGAAAATATTGTTTTAGTTGGTTATTGTTACTAAAACAAATTACCGCAGTGTTTTAAAACAGCACAAATTTAATATTTTATGATTCTGGAGTCAGAAGTTAGAAATGGGTGTCACTGGGCTAAAATCATGGTGTTAGCAGAGCTGTATTCCTCTCAGTCTTTAGGGAGAATACACTTTCTTGTCTTTTCCAGCTTCTAGAGGCTGTCTGCATTCCTTGGCTTCTTCCTCCATCTTCAGAGGCGGCAGAGCAGCATCTTCAAATCTCGGACTCTGCCTCTCTTCTCCTGTCTCTCTCTCCCACTTTATGATCCATCTTTGTGATTACATTGGACTGATTTGGAAAATCCAGGATAATCTGAAGGTCAGCTGATTAGCAACCTTAATTCCATCTGCAACTATAATTCCCCTTTGCCGTGTAACATAATATATTCATACTTTCCGGGTATTAGGATGTGGACATCTTTTTGTCACATTCTGTCTACTACAGCTATCTCTAACAAAAGAGGCCCTTAAAAGCTGGAGTATGTGTGGGGAACTTGATTAAAAGTTTATGGGTGAGAGCAGGTGAGAGTATCTGCACCCAATGGAGGGATACTTCTGTCTCGGCCTCCTGAGTCACAGGTGAGTCAGGTGGGGTGTTGCAAATGCCTCCCCAGAGGGAATGCATTTTAGCCGAGCCTTGGAGGATGAGTAGGAGTTGGGCAGGAGACAAATGGCTGGCAGGGAAAGGTGTCCCGGGCTAAGAGAACAGCTGGCGCAATGGCTCAGAGGCAGAGAGGACTTGACTCCTTCAGGGAGCAGAGCATCACCCCTGTGATGGGAATATGGAGTGGGGGACAGAGGTGGGGTGAGCACACTCGCTTTTCACAGGGGCCTGAGAGGACCAGATGAGATGAGTGTGAAGAGAGTTCTCCATGCCCAGGTATATGATATTGCAAGACAGTGGTATTTCTTTTCTTTCTCAGAATTAAAGTGGTCTGGACCCGGGGACTCTGAGAACCCCCTATGCTCTTTTTCCATTCTGCTGCCTCACTGCTTTTCCCAGTGTGTGTCCCCATTGCTCCTTTCTGTCCCAAAAGAGGGGGGATATAAAAAGCAAATTCTTAGGAAGGACCAGCCACATAGCCCGATCTCCCCCAACTAGATGCTTTTAACTAAGTCTGTGAGCAGGAGAGACTTTTTATCCCTTGCAAGTTAATGCAAACTGTTAGGGAGATAAATAAATGACAGAACTGCCGATGGACTGTTGGGCTCAAAGGAGAGAAATTTGTCTCACTTTAGAAGAAAGACCTGGAGGGCTCAGCCCCATCGACTCGTTCATTGTGCTGTTATCTGCCAGAGAGGTGGTGACACCACAGCAATTAAGACAAACTTTAGTCTATAAGTTCGTGCCTGCAATCTCGTGGCTTCAAAACAAGACAAATGATACCGCCAAGGGAGGAAACAAAGTCTTTTTCAGACTCTGCCCAAAGTCACAGTGAATATTTGTAGTTGCTCAGCAGAAAATTTGTCATTACAAGGCCTGGGCTCTGCTCCACATTATAATCCATCTCAGTGGCCTGTGCTAGTCCAAGCTGTCTTCAGGGCCTCCACCTGGCCTCCCACTGAGGGGTGCCACCCACTGCCAGCCCCACCCACCCGTCTGTGCTCTAGTTTATGAGTGTCTCTGGTAGATCAGGGACACAATTACTGTCCACCAGAAAGGAGTTAAGACAAAGCTAAGAAGCGCCATTGAAGCCCAGCCCTGCCCTACTGCTCCCCTCACCCCCTGCTAGCAGCCAGTGCTCACAAAGGATCAGGCTTGGGGACTTTGTCCTGAGCCATTTAATGCTTACACCTACCTGAGGTCCCCCTTTAAATCCTCCCCACATTACCACACCTGCTGGCCTTCGCCACATACCCTTGGGAGCCGACCCGATGCTGGCCTCAGCCTCCCTCATGCCCTTGGATTGAGCTAGCTATTTCTGGCTGCTTGAAGTGAAAACGCCCTGTCCTCTTGATGTGGAAGTTGGGACCTGGTCAGGTACAGTCTTGGGAGTCCACCTGGCCCCAGTGGAGTCAGGACACTGCTGGCTGCCTGGGCCGTTGTGAGCTGCCAGCACTGCCTCCCTTCTGCCCCTCTGAAGGCTTGTCCAACACCGCCTCACTCCCCAACGCCAGGACTCCAGGTCCTGTATTCTCCCTCCCCACCCTCCTTCCACAAGGACGGGGAACAGAGGCTCCCATCCTGAGAGGGCCCAGATTTAGCCAAAAGATGAAGCTCCAGTGGGGAATCTGGGCAGCAGTCAGCTGGGATGGAAGACGTGTTTGAGGCAGCATGGCGGTGTCACCGGGCTTCCCTGCCCCAAGTGGAGGCAGCTGTCCATCCCCTTCTGACCGTGTGATGGAGGGGCATGGCCAGCACCATCCTGGGATCTCTGGCCCAGGTTATACTCTGGCCTTCAGCTCTAAGTGTGCAGAGATCATGAAGCACATGCCTTCCCCAAAAGATGTGGCTCTGTTTGGCTTGAAACAAGGCCCCAGGTCCTTGCCCTCCAGGCAGGGTACCTGCAGCTTCTCTCAGTCAGGTTATAGCGTCTAGCCCACCTTGCAGGCCTGACCACCTGCCCTTACCTGAGCTGGGCCACAAGGACTGTGTCTCACCACATCTGGGGAAAAGGGGCCCACCTGCCCTCCCTCTGTTCCCATTGCCTTTTTAGAAGATCTCCAAAGTTCTGGGATTCCGGAAACTTTTATTTCCCACATGGGAAAACCAAAGGACAGAACCAGGAAGAGACAGTGGCTGAGTGCCGAGGTCCCTCCATACCTCTAAGCCAGGGTGACATCTGTTTCTCGATGTGAGCTGGGGACCCTGTGAGGACCCTTCTGTCCCCCCAAAATGCTCCCTTCCAGGCTCCCCTGCAGGTCTGAGATGCCCAAGGCTGCGTGCCAAGGGGATCTGGCTCCAGAAGACACATGAGTGTCACTGAGGCTTGGAGTTAGAGATGAGAGCAAGACAGTGACAAGCTCTGGGGAGGGGGAGCTGCCCCAAGAACCTCGGGCCTGAGTGCTCCCTCCTTCCATCCTCCCAGCACTCCCATACCTTGGAGCACCTTCCATGTGCCAGTCCAGGCCAGGTCCTGGGGAGAGGAGTGAAACTCACCCTTGCCTTGGAGTGGTCACAGTCTGCACCCAGAGGAGGGAATATAGCAACTTTCAAGAGAAAGTGCTGGTAAAGGGCTTGAAGGTTGGAGTGGGAGTTGGCTATGTGGATGGGTGAGGATGGGTGGGGTGGCATTCTGGGCAGAGGGGAGAGCTCATTCCTGCCCCTCCGTGTTTCAGGTCTCAGCCTTCCATTGACTCATGAAGATAAGGATGGCCTGGCCTCTGGGCTGCCAAAGGTGATCAAAGGGATGACCAAGCCTAAACAGGCCAAAGGGGGCCTTGGCCTCCAGCCAGAGGGGGCTTTGCAGACTCCCTGAGGGATCTCCTAGCTGTCCATCTTCCAAATACTTCAAACAGAAGGAAACATAGACTTTGGCGGGGGGGATTGACCCAAAGCAGGGCCTCTCAACTTGGAGTCCATGAGTGGGCGGGCTCCATGAACCCTAGTTGTGAACCAAACCGTGTGTGAGCATGTGGGTGCACGTCATTCTGGGGCAAGGCTGTCACTTTTGTGGGATGCTCATGGGGTTCCAAGGCCTCAAGGGGTGAGAACTGCTGGGAACATCAGGGCTGAGAGGAGCTCCAGCACTCAGGGAGATCAACCCCCGCATTTCCTGGTGAGGAAACTGAGGCTCCGATGGAGACATGCTCTGAGACCAACCTGGAAGCTAGTCTCTGGGTTCAGGGCTTTGATGCGCTTTCTAGCAGTGTTTCACAGTGCTGTTGGAGGGCGCTCACTCTGGGTGTCCCCGGGGGGCTGGGCACAGAGCAGCTCCCTGGCCCCATTCCCAAAGGTATATCTTTGCACACCAGGGTTTGTATGCAAACTCTGTGCTAAGTATAGAGGGTGGGACACATGTGTGCATGCTCGCATGCACATATGTCGTGCTTGGGGAACTGACTTCTGGAGCTGTGGTTAAGGGTGGGCTTCTGAGTTCCAAACCATGCTTTGCTACTGACTTGCTGGGTGACGTTGGGCAAGTTTCTTGGCCTCTCTGTGCTTCAGTTTCTCCATCTATAAAATGGACAGAATAATATCCTCTTCCTCATGGGATCATCGTGAAGATTAAACAAGTTGATAGTAAGCCCTCAGCACAGTGCTGGCATGAGGTACATGCTTGTTTTCACCACCTCCCCTGGCTTGGGGGGTGGGGATGACAGGCTTGCTGCATGCCACTTCTCAAAGCAAGGACAAGCATTAAGTCTGGGTGCTGGCTGGTTCACATTCCGGGGTGGCCAGCCCCTCTGGGGAGCCCTCGAGCATTCCCCACTCACTGGGCGTCTCCTTCAAAAAGCCCACATCTGTGCCCCTCGCAGCTTTCCCTGCCGGAGCACTGACCCAGGGAGTGGCTGCCTGGATGGCCTGGGCTGCATCCAATTCTGTGGCCTTCCTAGCCCCAGGGGACAGCAGCACTCCGTAATATGAATGCTCTATCCAAGGCTCAGGGGCAGCAGGACACCTTGTACCACCTTGAAAAGTGTTACTGAAATGATGCTGACCTTGTCTGGGGAAACAAAACGATGCTTCACATAGGGTGGCCCCTTCACGGAGGACTGAGCCTGGGCTGGGAATCACAGCTCTGCCACTTTTGGCCCCTCAGCTAGCAAAACATTTGTTGGGTGCCTGCTAGGACAGGCCCTTGGTTCTTGGCACTAGGAATACTATGTGAAGAAAACACCAGAATCTCTGCCCTTGTGGGGGTCAGGGGGAAGCAGGGAAGCTTGGAGACAGAAGATAAAATGTAAAATCAGTGGTTTGTCACATGGTAACGAATACAATGGAGGAAATGATGCCAGTAAAGGGAGCATGAGTCCCAGGGAACAGGTGTGGGAGGGCTGCCACTTTAAATAGAGTGGTCAGGTCAGGACTCACCGAGGTGCCATCTGAACAAAGATCGGAAGGGTGTAGAAGTGAGCCGGGTGGATATATGGGGAAGAGTGCTCCCATTGCAGGTACAAAGGCCTATATTAGTTGGCATAATACAGTTGCCAGTAATACATCAACGAAATGGTTTAGGGCACATCATTTACTAGTCCAGTGCAGGTGTTCTTTGGGTGGCCCGTTCCTCCATGTGGTGATTCAAGGATTCAGGCTCCTTCCATTTGCAGCTCAGCCTTCCCACGCCTCCTGCCACAGGCATTTTATTTAGCAAGAGAATGGAGAAAGGAGTAGTGAAGGAGGCACATCTGCATCTTAAGCTTCTTGGTCAGGAAGCAAGATACCATCTGCTTTCATTTCATTGACAAGCGCTAGTCACATGGCCCCTGTTAAATGCAAGGGAGACTGGGAGATGTCCTGGGCTGGGTCATCCAGGGCTGGGCAGCAGCTTCCCAGTAATAGCCCTACACTGTGGAGGGAGCACAAACCTGGGGCCGGCTAGCTGCCGCTGCCATGGCCCGACGACAGCGTGCCTGGATTTTCCAGGATCGGTGAGGAGGCCCGGTGGCTGGAGTAGAGTGAGTCGGGATGATCGGCGTTGAGGTTAGAGATAATGAGGGGAGATTGTCACACGGGCCATTGTTGGGTCTTTGGCTTGTCCTCTGAGTGAGCTGGGAGAACCTAGAGGTTCTGAGGCAGGCAGGGCCATGACCCATCTTATTTTAACTGGCTCCCTCTAACAGCCCTGTGGAAAATAGACTATGGGGGGCAGGAGGGAGTAGGGCCTGGGGAGCAGTTCCGCCGGGCCAAGTGTGGGCCCTTTGATGAGGATGAGAAGTGGTGGAATCAAAACATTTTGAAGGTAAAGACAAGAGGACTTCCAGGTGGGCTACATGTGTGGGGTGTGAAAGAGAAAAGAATCATGGCTAAGTCCCAGCGTGTTGCTCGGGCCCTGGGAGGAAGGAAATGGAAAAGCGGTGGAGGTGGTTCTGGATGTGTTGGGATGACCTCCAAGGGGAAATCCGAGCCTCTCTGAGCCTCAGTTTCTCACCTGTAAAAGGGGGTAACCACGCTTGCCTTGTGGGCAGCTGTTACTTAAGAGGATGGCTATGAATGGCCCAAGGTGAATGAGGTTTGCTGCGTGTGGGGTCAAGGGCAGTGGGGGGCAGCTTGCTGTAAAGAGGAACTGATGGTGGGGAGTGGGGGTGGAAGGTAGAAGGACCTCTCAGAACTTCTCAGGCCTTTTTCCAACTCTTGGGCTCCAGCTTCCTCCTCACCCCACTGTC